GTCAGACACATGACAATAGTATTAATTGATTATGTGCCATAAAGTCAGTGTCCATTTTTAGTGAATACATAGATTTTCTGCAAGGCAATCTGTCCCTAACCTGGTTTTTAGGTCTTCCAACAGTACACTTATCACCAATGATGCTGCTGGTCATCATCATTTTCTCTCTCCTTCCAACTTGCACAGCCTTAGAGCCTTCTTCAGAGACTAGCTCTTTGTATAATATCTAAATTGAAATAGCATACTGTAGTATTAATTGATAAAGCTCTATATTTTTTTTGTAGATGAGTTGAGGTCGATTTGGCAGGAACCACTAATTTCCAGGCTAAAGAAAATCATATCACTATATAATGCGTTTACCTAAGACCATCACAAGAACGACCAAGTATCCATTAATTCAGAAGAGTCAGAAGAAAAAACTTAGACTTTAAACTTTAGCGTATTGACCTCTGTAAAAGCATTGACTCCTTTGCACTGTGGAGGGCAAATAATTTGTATGTCGGGCTGTCATTTTCGTCAGCAAGAAAAAAAAAATCTAAAATAGGCAAGTCATATTTTAAAACCTTCCAGTTAGCCTATTCCTGAGTAAGGAATTAAATGTCTGTGGAGCTGAGATTTATTGCTGAGTTCTTACGTGAAGGCTAACTATAGTCGTTACTTATATCAATGCTTGTTTCCAATTTTCTTGGCAGTATTTCTTTTTTGAGGATGGAATCAGAATTGTTGGATACCTTTCATTTTTGAATTGACGAAAGTAGCACTTAGATTTTCAGCAGCTTAAATGGCATTTACAGCAACTTTTCAGTTTATCATATTTGAACTTGTACTAGATAAGGTTAATAAGTTAGCAATAGAAGGTCAAATTATGAGGCATTAAGCTTAATTAAAGCAGAGCAGGAGTGGCAGGAGTATGTGACAGCTAAATAAGTTCCCTGCAGACTAATGCCAGTTATGGTGAAACCATGCCTTAATTTAAGTGATTTTGTGCAAAGGGCTGTGATGAGTAACAGTTTTGACATGCTAGACATTTCTAGCCAATTCCATCTGTTTTAGAGGTTAAGAAAGCATACCTTTGTGAGCTAATGGATTGATTTTAGAGCCTTTTTGGTAAAGTTTAGAAGTGCAAGGCCAGTGCAGTAAGTGTTAAGTTAAAGTTACAATTGCTCGGGAATTTTTAACTGTAACTTTTTTGTATTGTAGCTACTTATAAACTATAACATTGCTATAGAACAGGGGTCCCCAACCCCCGGTCCATGGACCAGTACCGAGCCGCGGCATGCTAGCAACCGGTCCGCACAAACAAGCAAAACCCCATCTGTGGGGTGCAGGCAGCACACAAAACCAGGCAGCACTCCAGCCCAAGGAAAAACTTTTCTCCATGGAACCAGTTCCTGGTGTCCAAAAGATTGAGGACCTCTGCTATAGAATACAAATAACTTGTCAACCAAGTTATGAGAATGGAGAATGTGGCATATGCCTATATACTCCCTTTGAAACAGAATTGGTTGTAATTAATTTTCTAAAGTCATATAAAAATAGTCATATATAAATAAAATCATATAAAAAAATTCTCTGATAATTATCACATTTTCTGTTTGAAATTGAACACTGAACATTGAATTTCTTTCAAATGGCTCATTTGTTTCATTTTTTACTTTGGACCTATAGTTAATCACTATTAAAGGAAAGCATAGAGAAAACATGACTTTTATAACACAGCATATGAGAGGGATTTATACAATGTGATCGCAGAATGGGAAAGAGGGATACAGTGAACATGAATGCAAAATTGTAAGATTTCTAAAATGGGGCAAAGTACAAAGTTGGGAATTCAAAGTAAGATAGATAAAAATGTCACTATATATAATTATTAACATATGATTGAATAATAGAATATTCAGGTTCTCTTTATATATACAAACCTCCATGGAAGTACATGTGCATGTATTGGTCTTAGGATGTATGAATCATTTTTAGACAAATATGCATATGTGCCACATAAGTATAATATACCTATAAACAGTATAAGCATGCCAGATCAGTATAATATACCTATATATAAGTATATATACCTATTTAGTTCAATAGTTGTATTTTTCTATATTTTAATCCTGACTGCTTCTAATCACGTTTGTTGTATTATATTTTGGTTATTTATTTGGAATTGTATTTTATTAGACAGAGTTTGATAAGTGGAGATGACTTTAAATAGTTTCTAGCTTGTTTTCTCTACTTCCTACATACATAGTTTCAACTAATTAAGCTTTAGTGACTCACCTTATTATAAATCTTATTATTTGACTAAGGTAAGTAGATTGTATAAAAAGGTGGTGTATAGCTTGCACTAAAGTTTAGTATATATTGTGTTTATTATAGTAGCTTTCCGAGTTTTCAGTAGATAAAATGTATAGTTTAATTGCCATAAGAATTATGAAGTGTCAGAATATGTAGCTATTGTTTGAAATAAAGGCATAACAAAATCTTATTTTAAAAGTAGGATATTATACTACTTTGCCATCTATTTATGGCATGCTTCACATGAATTAAAATAAACAAGTCAAATAGCATATTAAAACAATCCTGAATTTACAAACCAATATTACTATTATTATTATTATCATTACTACTATTATTATTATTAACAACAACAATGTATCTTCTACTGAAACATCATTAATGTATTTTAGTTAAAAGATTTTTAATAATGTTCAAGGTTCCTGTACAACTAAACATAATTAATTTTAGGTACAAGCGAAATTATATTGCTGTGTATAGTTTGACTGTAGCTAAATTGTTTATCAAAGCTTTAGGGTCTTCAAATATCCCTGTGTATAGACAAATATTTACATTTAAATCACTTCTCTGAATTTGTAGTGGAGAAAGCAATAGAGCCGAGGTGGCGCAGCAGTTAGAGTGCAATACTGCAGGCCACTTTAGCTGACTGTGTTCACATACATACATACATTGCTTACTGGTGTACACCGCTTAGAGAGTGCTTGCACTTAAAGCGGTATATAAGTCTCATAAGTAAGTAAGTAAGTAGAGAACATTTTCCAGTCTACCATGAAATTATAATTATGGAAAGACATAAGCTAATAACACTTAGTTATAATTCTCCTTTCTGCAAGTTTAAGATTGGACTACTACAAGCCTCAGATTGTCTCCAGACTGTTAAAGGTCTGACTGTGGGAGAACAAACTGAAGCTGAATTCATGAAAGATTAAGTGGTTATTGAATACAGGAGATGGACTTTAGAGTGTGAATAACATGCCTATTTGATTGGATCATATTTCCCTTCTGGAGTAGGTTCGCAGTTTTGAGTTTTCAAGTGGATTAATTTTTGCTGATAGAGGAGAGACGTGTTTGTGACACGTACTGTTAGAATATTGCAATTTGCTATTTTTCCTATAGACCTTTAAAATATTCTGGAAACTTCTGACTAGAATGTGGCAGCATAGGTGAAAAATGACATCTTTCAGAAGTGCTACAACATTCGGAAATTGATGTTTCTGGATATTTCAACAACAATGAAATAGATACATTGTTTGCTAGTTGCATTTTGAATCTAGTTTGAGATAGGTGTAATGTACAAAGACAGTGTAATGTACTAAGAAACTATAATGTACAAAGACATGGAAATAAAAATTTATGTATTTTTGTTTTGGTTTTGACTCTGGGGAAATTTTCTTTGCAGAACAAATTGCTAGTTTTGAGCAAGTCTCCTATTTATTAAGCTTAAATGGGGGCTTGAACCCTATTTTTGTATGTAGGTCTTCTCTGTTTTCCAAGAGTTTGTAAATGGAATTGCAGAATAGTTGTTCTTACAGCATTGTGTCCCAGACAGTGAAGTAGAAAATAATGATATTCTGGATGTGAGATTTCATATTTGAAATGCATTGATTGTTTTACTCCTAGGAAAAATAGAACATATCTGGGAATACCAGAACATTTTGGAAAAGAATCACACTGTATTGTGTATAACTGTGGACAAGACTACTAGGCTGTATGAAGTAAATCTAGGGATCTGGAAATGTAGAGGAGGAATAACAGAGTATTTTGGTGATGATAGGTTGGGAAAGATATAGAAGAAACAATGGGTAGGGTGTTCTAACATAAAAATGTCAAGCAATTTTGTGTAAACTTTTAGTTCTAGCCCAAGTGTCTCATTCCACCATTTTCATAGCGATGTTTATTTGTTTATTTAAATTTATGGCCATACCCTACTCCAAACGACTGTGAATGGCTTATACTTTTTAAAAAAGTGGAGTACAGTGAGAAATAACCATCCTATATCTAAGCCTGGGAAAACAGCCAGGTTTTCAAGGACTTTCAGAACATTATCAAGAGCTATACCAATCTGTAGGAGGTGATAATGTTCCAGAGGGTAGGCACTGTGACAGAGAAGGTGCACTTCCTAGGTCCCAAAAGATATTGTTAATTGAAGGAACTTGGAGCTCATCCATTCTGCCTAGTCTTCATGACTGGATAGAAACTATTGGAAATAACACTCTCTCAAATATCGTATTTTGTATTGATGGAGATATTGAGCTCAGTTTTTTGTAGAAAATGTCAATTTTGTTTGAAAATGTTAGTCTGTATTTGTCCCCAACTTGGTTGTAGATAAACAAAGGAAATTATCATGTTTCATTAAAATCTGGTTGGGTAAAGAGAGGGATGATAATTTTTCAAATAATTTGCTTTCTAGATTTCATTTTCTACATTTTGCATGATCCCAAGATTAGAAACAGTGTAAATTATATTTTGGAAAAGTTTGATTATCTCTGACATGACTCTGTATATTTTAATTACTTGTACCCTTTTGTGTGCTATGCTGGGGGATCTATGCTGGGCACTGATCCTGACACCTACTTAAGGTGCCAACTAGAGTGCTGACCTGAGTACAACTTTGACTGAGGGACAGGCAGGACTGTGGCGAGGAACCTTTTTAGGTGCTGACTTTGTGGGGGCAAGGATGTGCCATTTGTGTTTTTTCCTTCTAGGCTTCCCTCCTGGATTCTGAATGCCTATACCTGGCTATGGTTTCCTACAACAAGCACTCAAGATCATGGCGATGGGAGAGAGCGATTCAGCTGAATGGTGCTGATTGGAGATGAGGCAGCTGCATGTTTGATCGTTACTGTGGTGATACCATAATCCATTTTCATGCTAATGATACTAGGACTGTTGGCTGCATTGATTGTGTTCCCGTTGGCTGGCACTGGGATTTTTTCTGTGTTTCCTGCTTCCAGGTGCTGTGATGATGCATGGCCTTATTGGCTGCTGCTGGAAGCTGTTGGCACTGTAATATAGTGTTTTTGCAGTTCCCAAAAAGAGAGGCTATTGACTCTTGCAACCATGCTCAATAGTAGTAACTGAGAGGGATCTCGGAGTCCTAGTGGACAATCACTTAAATATGAGCCAGCAATGTGCTGCAGCTGCCAAAAAGGCCAACACAGTGCTAGGCTGCATTAACAGAGGGATAGAATCAAGATCACGTGAAGTATTAATACCACTTTACAATGCCTTGGTAAGGCCACACTTGGAATACTGCATCCAGTTTTGGTCACCACGATGTAAAAAAAAATGTTGAGACTCTAGAAAGAGTACAGAGAAGAGCAACAAAGATGATTAAGGGGACTGGAGGCTAAAACATATGAGGAAAGGCTAGTTTAATGAAGAGAAGGACGAGGGGGGACATGATAGCAGTGTTCCAATATCTCAGGGGCTGCCACAAAGAAGAGGGAGTCAAGCTATTTTCCAAGGCATCTGAAGGCAGGACAAGAAGCAATGAATGGAAACTAATCAAGGAGAGAAGCAACCTAGAACTAAGGAGAAACATCCTGACAATTAGAATGATTAACCAGTGGAACAACCTGTCTCCAGAAGTGGTGAATGCGCCAACACTGGAAGTTTTTAAGAAGAGACTGGAGAGCCATTTGTCGGAAATTGTATAGGGTTTCCTGCCTGAGCAGGGAGTTGGACTAAATGACCTCCAACTTCCCTTCCAACTTTTATATTATTATTATGGATCATCGCACAGTCAACCAGATGTTCAGACTGGATTTGGCATTTTGTCTACCTATCGAGTCCTTACCCAGCACCTGGGATAGGCAGATGTGGATGTTTGATGGTATTACAGATATCGTCGCAGGATGGAAGCAGTTCCTAGTAAGGCCGCCTTTTGCAATTGACTAATAGCGAATTTGTCAATGCCAGTGGTGTTCAAGTGGTGCTCCAGTTGTTTTGGGATTGCACCCAAGGAGCCTATGACTATTGGTACTACCCTTGCTTGCTTTTGCCACAGTCTTTCTATTTCTATTTGTAGGTCTTTGTATTTTGTTATCTTCTCCAGTTCTTTCTCTTCTATTCTGCTATCTCCAGGCACTGCCACGTCCACTATCCAGACTTTTTTGTCTTTCTTATCGACAATTGTTAATAATAATAATAATAATAATAATAATAATTATTATTATTATTATTATTATTATTATTGATCATCGCACAGTCAGCCAGATGTTCAGACTGGATTTGGCATTTTGTCTACCTATCGAGTCCTTACCCAGGACCTGGGATAGGCAGATGTGGATGTTTGATGGTATTACAGATATCGTCGCAGGATGGAAGCAGTTCCTAATAAGGCTGCCTTTTGCAATTGACTAATAGCGAATTTGTCAATGCCAATGGTGTTCAAGTGGTGCTCCAGTTGTTTTGGGATTGCACCCAAGGAGCCTATTACTATTGGTACTACCCTTGCTTGCTTTTGCCACAGTCTTTCTATTTCTATTTGTAGGTTTTTGTATTTTGTTATCTTCTCCAGTTCTTTCTCGTCTATTCTGCTGTCTCCAGGCACTGCCACGTCCACTATCCAGACTTTTTTGTCTTTCTTATCGACAATTGTTAAGTCTGGGGTGTTATGTTGCAGGTGCTTGTCTGTTTGAATTCTGAAGTCCCAGAGCAGTTTAATTTTATCATTTTCTATGATTTTCTCTATTTTATGATCCCACCAGTTTTTGCTTACAGGCAAAATTATTATTATTATTATCGATCATCGCACAGTCAGCCAGATGTTCAGACTGGATTTGGCATTTTGTCTACCTATCGAGTCCTTACCCAGGACCTGGGATAGGCAGATGTGGATGTTTGATGGTATTACAGATATCGTCGCAGGATGGAAGCAGTTCCTAATAAGGCCGCCTTTTGCAATTGACTAATAGCGAATTTGTCAATGCCAATGGTGTTCAAGTGGTGCTCCAGTTGTTTTGGGATTGCACCCAAGGAGCCTATGACTATTGGTACTACCCTTGCTTGCTTTTGCCACAGTCTTTCTATTTCTATTTGTAGGTCTTTGTATTTTGTTATCTTCTCCAGTTCTTTCTCTTCTATTCTGCTATCTCCAGGCACTGCCACATCCACTATCCAGACTTTTTTGTCTTTCTTATCGACAATTGTTAAGTCTGGGGTGTTATTATTATTATTATTATTATTATTATTATTATTATTATTATTATTATTATTATTATTATTATTATTATTAACCGGGGGTTATACAGAGGTGGTGACTGCTGTGGACACTCTTCCCTCCTCTTTGGGGTCATCTTGACCCTTTATTGCTGACTCAACATACAATACATTTAGAAAGTATTCAGAGCTCCTTTACTTTTGCCAATTTTGTTATGCTGCAGCCTGATTCTACAGTTGTTGAAATTCATTAATCTATGAGTAAATATACCAATACACCATAATGATAAAGTAAAAACAGAATTTTAGAAATGTCTGTAAATTTATTAAAAAGAAAAAAAAACTGAAATATCACATCAGCATAAGTATTCAGACCCTTTACTCAGTACTTTGTTGAAGCACCTTTGGCAGCAATTACATCCTCGAGTCTTTTTGTATGACACTACAAGCTTTGCACACCTGGATTGGGGGATTTTCTGCCATTCTTCCTTGCAAATCGTGTCAAGTTTAGTGAGCTTGGATGGTGACTATTGATGGAGAGTCATTTTCAGGTAGGTCCCTTCAGAGATGTTCAATAGTGTTCAAGTCAGGGCTCTGACTGGGCCACTCTAGGACATTCACAGAGTTGTCCCTTAGCCATTCCTATGTTGTCTTGGCTGTGTGCTTAGAATCATCATCATGTTGGAAAGAGAACCTTCAGCCCAGTCTGAGGTCCCTAAGCACTGTGGAACAGGTTTTCATTGAGAATATCCCTGTACTTTGATTTATTCAGCTTCCCCTCAACTCTGACCAGTCTCCCAACCCTACTGCTGAAATCACCCCTGCAGCATGATGCTGCCACCACCATTCTTCATTGTTGGGATGGTATTGGGCAGGTGATGAGCAATGCCTAGTTTCCCCCAGGCTTAACATTTAGAACTGAGGCCAAATAGTTCATTCTTGGTTTCATCAGACCACACAAATGTTGTTCCTCATAGTCTGAGAGTCCTTCGGGTGCTTTTTTGCAAATTCCAAGTAGGCTTTCATGTGTTTTGCATTGAGAAGAGGCTTCCATCTAGCCACTCTGCCATAAAGCCCAGATCAGCGTAGGACAGTGATGGCTGTCCTCCTGGAACTCTGTCCATCTCCACACAGGATCTCTGGAGCTCAGTCAGTGACAGAGTTGCATTGCCTTAAATTAGACCCAGTGGATAACCTGGGGTTTTTCCTAGACTCACAAAGAGCAGATGGCAGTCGTGGCTTCCTGTTGTGTGCTTGTTGCACTTGTTCCTGGATAGGAAGGCCCTGGTCACCTCCTGAAAGAACTACTTTAATGGGACTGTCCTTGAAGAGTATTTGAAAGCTTAAACTGATAAGAATGCAGCAGTACAGGCAGTTATGTGTGTGCCTTGAATGGCACACATTACATCTCTGCTCCATGAGCTGCACTGGTTGCCAATTTGTTTCCGAGTCCAATTCAAGGTACTACTTTTGACCTTTAAAGCCCTTCATGCTCTACCTAATTAATCTGCCCATCCTATCAGGTCTGACAGAAGAATTATGTTGCAGATACCATATGCAAAAGAGGTTCATCTGGCGGGATCTTAGAGGCGGACTCCTCAAAGGGAAATTAGTTTCATCCTTGACATCCTTTTGGAAGCCCTTTAAAAAATGGCTTTGCCACTAAGCCTAAGGATCTCAAGGCAACAGTTTGTTGATGAGATGGGTAATTTTTAAAAAATTTGGATTGTATTACTTTTATTGTAAGCCACTTAAAATCGCTTTATTGTTAGAGAGAGGGCTGCCTAAATTATCTATTTATTTCTATCTATCTCACTAGCTTACAGTAGTTTGGGTTTGGCAGATGGTTTTGCTAAGTATATGATTGAATATTGACACGTAGAGAAGAGTAGAGCTCTCCAAAATATAAAATTGAAGGTAAAAACTAGAAATCATTTTGACAATATGGAGAAGAAATCATACTCAAATGAATATGATATTGTTGGAAAACATCCTTAACTTTCCTTGTATGGTGCAGCAGTCATATTAAAAGTGATATACTTTCTTTTAGGATTCAGGTTCAAGGAAATCTACCACAAAGCCATTTTGAGATTTTTGTGCAATACTTATTGATCTAATCATTCAAATTTGCTCAGATCTGGAATTCCCAAAAAGAGAGTCAGAGAAGATAGTGAGATAGATAGAAATAAATAGATAATTTAGACAGCCATCCACCTAACGAAGTGATTTTAAGTGGCTTACAATAAAAATAATAAAATCCGAATTTTCCTATCCATCTTAGTAGGAAAACATCTTGCAAATTCTGGGGGAAATATTTTGAGATTGCCAGTTTTGAGGAATCAGACAGGGTGATCTATGTTCATGACTAACTCAGCTTCTATGTGAAGTGACTGTTTTAAAATAGATAATCTTCAGCTCTTCCTGCTGAAGAGACACTAGAACTGTCCAGCTTAGATAACTATTTAACTGTGTCCATCCTTTTATTTTTAGGGACAGCTGTTAAGAAGATTATGGGATTTTCAGCACTTTGTCAAATACAAATTTGTCTGGATTGTGTTTAGTCAGGATTTAGCCTAGGTATGGGATAGAGTCTGCACTGATCATTCCGTTTGATTACATTTATTGGTATCTGAATGATG